TGACTGGCTCGTTATGACACTAATTGCGGTGGCAACACTTTTATTGCTTGAAAATGGATTATGTAGTCAAACACATAATTGCAAAACTGCCTACGAAATTTCAATTCCAAAATACGTTAGCTAAAACTCAGGCTCTTAAAGGATAGAAAGCTTCAGTATAAGCAAAAGAAGATTTTAATATATTAATAGAAAATTAGAAGTTAATAACTTCATTGAAGAATCTGCATTAAAGTTATAGATGGAATTGTTGAAAAAAACAAAATGGAAGTGGTTATAAGCTTTGGGGCACGATAAAAAAAAAGTAATCTTCCAATGTTTATGCAGCTAAGAGAGGCATTTTGAGACTGTACCATTGATCATATGGTATTTCAATTACCCGGAAACTGATGTTACAAAGAATTGTGAAATATCTTAGGCAAGTTCACAAAAAAAAAAAAACTGTTTTCCTGCCATAGTCGGTTGAGTGTCAAAAAGATCATGTGTCAAAAAAATTCAGCTCTTGAATATGGCTTAATAAAGAGGATGCTGGGGAAGATCAGGCATTCAGTCAGTATCCAGATAATCATATTTTAAGTTACTTGCTCACAAGGAATGGAATTCCTTTGCCTTTCTAAATGCAATCTGAAGAAAAATAATTGAGAAACAGACTCTTAACTGTGGGAAACCTAAAAGAAAAGAATATGGATGAGAGAAGTGCAATGTTACCTCCACAAGGAATACTTATTAACAGTAAAATGTTGCATTTTGACAATTAGATAAAGGTGTATTCTTGTGGGAAGAAACAAGCTCCTGCTTCCTTACTTCAATTATGCTACCTCCTTCTGACTATTGGATGCATCTCCCATAAGGGAAGAATCTGAATTTTGCAGCAAAAAAGTGAACAGACAGCACTACAAATTATTAAAAGGTACATTTTCTTACTCAAAGTGACTTCATCTTAATTGTACATTCTCTTAGCAACTTTTGGCACGTAATGTTATGATTAGGGTGCTTGATCATGGGAGAAGATGCTATGTCCTAAATCCTGTACTTTTATTCCAAGCCATTTCTATTTCAATTTAGAATAGTGCATCTGTCCTAGGAAAAAAAAAAGAATAGACTCAGAATCTTCTGTTCCAAATGTTTCCTGTGAACTAAAATAATTCCTAAAGTAAATCTGAAGGGCATCTTCTCACAGTATTTTCATTGGCATCTGTAATGTCCAGGCTTACATGCTTCCAACATCTCTCTTTGTATCTACTAAACTCACTCATTGTTTTTGTTTCTTTCCTTCACATCTGCTACTTCTCTCCCTGTGTAATTAATAAAGTCACATCATCAAACCTGAGCAGTATATGTACAGGAATGTGTCTTGAAACTCCAGAGAAAACACAAGGAAAGGAGGAGGTGCATAAGGAGAAGAATGAGCAAGAAAGGAGGAAAAATACCGACCAACTGATCCTTTTCACATCAATGAGCTTTCATTGTGGTGGAAATTGTGTTACTACCTGGTGGAATTACACAAATAGCTTAGGGTTAATTCAGAAGATAAAGACATAAGTAGCACTTGAAACAGAAAGGAATGATTTGACAAGCCAGTGAAACAAAAAAAAAAAAAAATGCACTTTCAGAACAGAAAGGCATCAGTAGGTTATAACGGCTATAACACAAATGCTCCTGTTGCTGCCTTGTTTTTTCAATAAGCTGTACAGATTTTACCTCCTATACTTCAAAGGCACTGCCTATATTTCCCTTTAAGATTGATGCTAAACTTGAGAAGTGTAAGGTCTGAGATCTGATATATGTGAAAAATGTTATCCTTAAGATTAACCTGTCTTTTACTGATACTCTGTGTATTCAGGATTTCACCCATCTAGTTCCTTTTTGTATCTATTTGGATAGATTTCAAGAAGGAAAACAACACTCTTAAAGGGAATAAAGCAAGTAGCAATACAACATAATTGTGATTTCCTCTCCTTAGTCGTAGCACAAACCGACATACTGACAATACACAAGTACTAGTTAATTCTGTCTCATCTTTTATTACTGTGCAAACATGATATGAAAGAAAAACAGGAACGTTGTTAGTCTTGCAGGGTGAATTGAAACAAACTCTATTTAGTATAAAAAAAAAAAAAAGTAAAATTAATTTTTAAATTAATTTTAAAAATAAAAAAATAATTTTTAAAGCGAATACTGTTGTTAAGCCACTAACATCAAATAGGAATGCTGTGGTGTTCAGACCTCATTAATATGTTACAGAACTTTGTATAATGCTGACACAGAACTGTTTGAAGAAATCTTTCATGTGGCACACATTACCTTCTGCTGTATGGGTGTATTTAAGAGTTTAGATACTTTAAATAAGGAATGAGATTCTATTTCACATCAAATTCCACTGAGGTTCCTCTACATTACAAAAAACGTGTTTCTGCAGTGATATAAGCCTATGAGCAATTCAAACATAGCTCTCAGCTTCCTTGAAAAATCATACAGAAAACCTACAGACTCAGGCCCTATAAGATTTTATCTGGTAAAACACTGCTTCAAGCTCAATGTGACCTCTATAATATGGTAACAAATAGCAGGGAGAATTCATAACAAATGGCAATATTGCATGCAACTGTGCTTCAAACGCATTGCAGTTTTCTATTACAATTCTGTACTTAGAATCTGTAAATGAAAGTTTGAAAATGCTGTTACAAATGAAGACAGAGATACAATACCAAAAGGAATGTGCTACAAATAAAATCACTGGCATCACAGAATCTCCAAGAACTATCTGGAAAGTGACCAGATGCCTGCAATGAAGTTTCTTAAAATGCAATCTAGTAGTCACTTAGTTATCTTCATTCATAGTGATTTTCTGGTGTTCCCAGTTCAAAATAGACCTCTGTCCCCTATTTCAACTATGCAAAAAGAAACTGTTGGAAGCAGCTTTAGGTCATGTGCTGGGATATTTAGGATTTGAGCGTGTAAGTGCAGAAAAACTGAATGATCAAATTAGAACTGCTAAGGCAGCATGCTCTTGTGACATGACTCATGATTTTGGATGACTAAGTGAGAATACTCTTAAGAGAGCTTGATTTTCCATTAGACATCCTCAACAGTGTGTGGTAAGAATCACAGCTCTATCCCATCTTTCAGCATGATGGAACTGGAAAAAATGGTCATTTCTGAAAAATGAACTCTTCAATAAACTGTAGAAATTTAGACCTCAAGAACAACTCTGTATAAAATGTTACTGCTCTTCCTAACAAATGACCATTGTGTAGCCTTGAAAAATCAGATTGTTCTCCTTTGAGGTGATTTTGCTAACTTAGTTTTGGACAGAAACCCAACTCAAAATTCATTACAAAAGCTTCACCTCCCTTCACTGATCATTAGAAGTAGTCTTGATCCCTTCAAGAAAGTATTACCTCATTAATTACTGTGACTGTTCCACCTGAGTTTATCTGATATCAAATTAGAGATGGAAAAGGCTTATTTTTTAAAGCAAAGCTTTTTCAAAAGTATCTCCTTGAAGGTGTGCCATGGTTTTATGATTTTTATTATCGGTATTCCACATCATAACATCATGTAATGCACTGGGACTTAAAGAGTTAATGCTGCAGTGCCAGCATTGGATTGTTGATAGTTCTGGGCACTCGGTCATAGAAGTGAAGGATAAACTACAGCTCCCAGAAGACTTCACTATTCCATTTCCATTTTCCATTCAGGGGGAAAGATAAAACTGCTCGTGAGCCATAGGTTTGTCTCTTTCTGCTCGTCTCTGCTATGTTCTCTCTCTTATTTGATTTGTTAGCTTCAATTCCAATTATACTGCAGTATATTGTGTTCTCTCAAATTTCACTATCACATTTTGTAAATCAAGATTTTCTCATTAGCTTGGTACTGCTGTTTTCCTCCTCTGGGCCTACCCTCCTCCTTCCTCCTTTCCTGGAGTCCATGAGTCCCTCTGCCCCATTAGTCACAGAACTAGACTGAAACAGGCCACAACTGACGACAAGGTGGCACAGATACATGTGACAAATGTATTAAACACAAAACAAAAAAACATAGATAATGTCAGAGAGCCTTCTGCTTCACAGTGCTTTTAACGTAGAGAATAAATCAAATACCTTAAAACAAAAAACCTGTACAATGTGTATGACAAAGACAGAAAAATTAGTACTGCAGTTCTTCTAACCTCTCTTTTACTGGCAAGAATGACCTAGTTGTTCTAGTTGTCTCTTGGGAATTCACAGTTTTAGGCAGGAATATGGGGAGGAAAGACAGCCTTCCAGCCTGAATTCAAGCAGCTGCTCTTCAGAGTTAATGCCTCACACCATTTTGCAACCCCTGTTTCTGCAACAAAAATACTTCCTCTAGGAACCCAGAATAAAACATATAAAATAAAATACCCTCTAAAGATAATTTGGAAAGAGCAGATATATATTGTACATGCCTCACAGTTAAACATGACCGAAGAATGTTGCAACACTGAGATAGCTTTTTGCTCACAAAAGTGACTGCTGTAGTTTAAGGGAAATCAGGAAACTGGATTGCAAACTGCAACTCATTCCTCACTATTTTTTTTTTCCCCTCTACAATAGCATTAACATTACCTTAGCAAGCAGGCTTTCACTGATACAATACAGCTAGTAGGATTTTATAGCTGAGTGAACTTGAATGTCACAACAATATGGATTATAAAGACCTGGAAACTGACCTCCTTTTGGAAAATTCTCAGGTAAAAAAGGGTGCTGGGGTTGAAAATGAGTGTGGCTTTTTAAGTTATGCTGTCATTACTGCCCATTTTAAGTTGTTTCCTTCTAACTTTTCCCTGGGATTTTGCACCTTCAGTAACGCAAAACATATACATAATTAAAGATGCAACATGCACGTGACTGGAATCTCTCTTGGATCAGGAGACCAAAGGTGAGGAGCAATGCAGCAGACATCAAAATGCACGTGTGGTCTGCATAAGTTTTGAAGTTCATTCATAGAGCTTGAATCTTAATCAAAAAAACTGAACTTACCAGCCCTGTGCTGGTGATCAGGCGATTTCCTGATTCTTCTTCACCATCAGACTTCCATTCTTCCATGTGTAACAAATAAGCACGTGCTAAAATAACAGGTTTCAGAGTAAAGAAAGTAACAAAGATTACTTAAAAGATTATAACAGGCTACAATAACTGTCACCATAAATGTTGTTTGTTTTCAGGTATGAGAAGTATTCTTAAAAGCAGAAGTGAAAGTGAAGGTCCCTTAGTTTCAATCCTGCACAGACATTAACAAAACAAATGGATAAAAAGATAGAGAAGTAAACAACTTCTCCTTTAGTGACATTACTGTCCCTTATCAAAACTGCAATAGCTGTGAGGTTTATACCATCATCAGCTTCATAGATGTTAGTTATTTATTTCCCAAGACGCAGCATTTTAATGTTAAACTGGTGTCACAGTGGGGGTATTTTAAACAGAACAAATCTATATATGTTATTTTTATTTATTTATTTTTACATCAAAATACTGCAGACTATAACCAGTGCTGTAAAAACTTGCTTGTGAAAACGTCTCTCATAGGTAACGAGCATTAACTGCCAAACCACTTGATAAATCAAGAGGAATATTTACAGTTAAGGTAACACAAATAAACAAGAAATCAAAAGAATATAAAACATATGTAGGGCATGATTGAAAGTGAGGGGATAGCCAATACCAGTTTTCAGCTGTGAAGCATAACATAATGAAGGCCTATGTTTATTCAACATATGTTTTTAAGACAGGAAAAAAAAAAAAAAAAAACAAAACAATCCACACCTGCCAGATTTCAGTACTGTTTTGTAGCTTGTTATCTGTGGACACTGTCCTCAGTACGCCACCACTGTGCTCCACTTGGTGCAAAAGAACCTGACCAAAAGCTGAAAAACAGCATAATTGAAATTCAAGCAGTGACTGTCCCACAAGCCCCCAGTGCCACCAGTCCTTCAAGCAGGGTATAAAAAGAAAGTAGACCCAGGTCTTTTATCTGTAACATTGTCTCTCCCTCCAGATCAGTATGCAAAAAAAAAAGCACTTTCACAGGAGTCTCAGCCAGGATTTAGGAAGTAAGTAGCAAGCCAGCTGAATGTCTCCAGCACTTAGAAATCTGAATAGATCAGACACTTGCCTTTAGTACAGATGCACCAACCAGTGTAAGTGAAGCATGAATTCGCCACTAGGGCAAACACTTTCAGTAAGTGGTGTGGTTTCCTTCTCCTCCCTTGATTTCCAGAGACAAAAATTCTACACCCTACTTCCTTGCATACGTTTTTAAAGGCATGCCTCTCTCTCACATCTTTCCTCCTGTCTCCTACTACGCTCACTTCCAAAAATTTTAACAGAGGAATGTAGAAGTTAAAAAATGTTTTTATATGCCTTAACAAGAAGTTAAAGTTAACGTCACCTTACACCATCCTGACATTAAGCAATTGAATTATCATTCCCATGCTTTAAAATTCTTTTCCACATCAGTTTTAAAAATGGAAAAGGAGTTCAGATACTATAGTATGTAACCTGGTAACACTCCTGAAAATACGAAATGAAGATAATAAAAGAGACTAGCAGCTGTAGCTTCTGTCACTCATGCTCTGTGGTCATATTCTTGCAGACTACAGATGCGTCCTAGCCAAAGCCCTTATTTATTAGATATTTGCTCTAATTACCCCAAGTTTCTGAAATGCTCAAATGATTTATAAATTCACTTTAGAACTCTAAGCCTTAAAAATGGGCCTAAGATTTTCATATAATTTCTTCTTTATAATGAGGTCTTTACATTTTCATGCAAGTTTCTATCCCCCATAACCTCTGGAGTGGATTAAAATGTCAGTCTCACAGACTGAACTGTGGGAATCTTTCAGAGGTCAGGAACTTCAGAATCCAGCTTTGGCATAAGTTCATGAATGAGATAATTGTTCCTTCAAATATTACTTTGATTTACTTGATACAAGTAAATATTTGCTTGATTTATTTGATTACTTGATTTAATTCACTTAAATGGAAGAGAGGAAGAACAAGATTTTGGAAGCGTAAGGGAAGAAGACTCCTTACAATATTTAAATTGCAAGGATTTATGATTCAGACACACAAATCAGTTCTGAACAAGTAGAACAAGACTGACATGACTTCAACTACAACTGCAGCAAGGAAAGTCTCAAGATTCAACATCAAGCTCGAAAGGCACCTCTGAATCAGCATAACACTGTAATTCCATGAAAGGCCAAGGTGTTCACATTTCAACCTAGTTTGCCACTCATTACCACTTCTTAAAGTGCTCAACATAACAAAGAAATAAATGGTACTGTGAATTATTATACCATCATCTAAATATTTTCCTATGATTATCCAACAAGTAGTTATCCAGTTTCTTAAAGGTTTTAAGATATGTTTTTCTTTTCTGTGAAAAATAGACTGGAAAAAAAACTCTGTCCATTTATATTTTCCTAACACATTATCCCCATGACATTGAATTTTTTTTTTTTTTTTAATGTTTCCTTTGTTTTCCTGCTCTCAGCTGTCTCAGAGGTAAAATTCTCATACTGTGAGCTCCTAATTCACTTGCATTTCCTAACGAAATTGCACTAAATTTTGACTTTCACATATCCATTTTGAAGGAACTCTTGTTTCCACAAGCAAATGATTTTTGCAGAAGAGTCAGACAGGTTCTAGCCTGTAATCTGTTACTTAGATGACAACAAGGCCGTTCATAGGCCCTTGAAGTCAGTTTTTCTCCAGATTGAAGACTTCCCCCTCCCTTGGTTCCCAGCAATGGCTTTAACTGACCTTGAGAGTCTCAATTCCTATTTTATTTCTACTGATACTCCAATACTCTCCAAGATTCTCTTTTCTAATAATCCTGGCACCTTGTAATAAGTTCCAAATTTCTTCATGTTCTGGGGAAATAAAGAATCTGTGTCAGCCTCCAGCTCCTTTTACCAGCACATTTGAACCAAAGTTGTCCAGCTGCCTCAGTGCCCTCAGGAAACACACCATGTTAACATGTTTGCTAGTTGTCTGGATTCTGTCACCCTAGTAACACTTCTTCATTTGAATGCTTCACAACCAAGTCCCTTCAATAATTTCTTTCATTGCTTTCACATAATGTGATCTAACTGGATTTGCACTGATGTCATAAAACTGAGCATACTGCTTGCCATTAATGTACAATTACAACACTGTAGTGCTACACACTGATGTAAAACTGATTTTGAATACATAAAACTTAAGCACTTAATAATCATATTCTTTCAGGTCTCTTCCAATTTCAAAGTATACTAATATTCCTGGGGTGAATTACTGCTATATTGTTGTATTTTCAGAGATAGTTAATTGACTTTGTACTGGCAGACAAGCGTCATTAGCTTAAGATGAGCATGCACTAATTGTCCAAAGTAGTCAATTACAGAAAGTAGCTTTTGCTATCTGAGTATTTAAAACCCATTCAGAGATTTGTTCTTGCTAATGGCAGTAATATTTGTGTTCTGAGAGTGGAATTAGTGTGTATTTCCATCTACGTTGTGTAGCAATTGGATCAGGTAAGCCGTGGTGAGTCGCAGTTTATGAACAAACTTCAACCATATCATGACTAAAAATCAGAATAAAAAAAGTCTCCTAATTTTATATGCTAACTGAATCTAGTTTACATCAGTTAAAATTTAAATAATTTTAGCTGAACTTCGGAAATTCAAAACATATCTTGCTTACAGCTGTAAACAAAGTCCAAAAGATAATTTCTATGAAAGTGTACTTAGCATTAAAGTTAAATGAACAATTGTAATACAAGGCAAGCTTAATTTGTCCTATTATGTATGATTTCTAAACCATGAAATGCTAACATTTTTCCACATCCAAGGAAGCATAAACCACATAAATTCTAATATTTTTTCAACAGTGGTATATTTTTTAGGCAGTTTGTAATGGATTTGGTAAGCATTTCATAGGTAGCAGACTAGTATCCAACACATTATGAATCTGTTTTTCTCATTTTTCATGGGCCTCTGCCAACAACTCAAGTAAAGTGAAAGCAAAGGTCTTGAAATTCTGGATTTCCTTGAATCCAAACTTCACTACCTGTGATTTCTACAGGAAAACATAAACTAACTTGATGAAAACCAGGGCACTTAAGGAGCTTAAAGACTTAAGAGTATTCAAAAACAGTAGGACTCAGTGAGAACCTCACAGTGAAAGTTCTTAGAGCCAAATGTTTAAGTGAAAACAACAGGTGATTTTCCAATAAATTAAAGACAAATAAATCAACCCCAGAGTAAAACTTCTTGGAAAGGTATTGGGAAGGCAGTTGTTACTGTGTTGAAACAGAATTCTCTAATACTTAAAGTATTGCTTGTTACTACTGGATTTGAATTCCAAATATTAAGAACACTACGAAAACTGTTATTCCTGGTTATATCACCATAAATTTCATGCTGAGTGAGATAAACAAAATGACCAAGCCTTGAACAAAGTAACAGTTTGTTTTCAGAGTGATGACAGAGCTGGGTTTAGGGCTCCAACAGTATTTTAAAGTTCCCTCTTCACTAACCATAGATACTTCAGTGGTGAGAAAAAGGTATCAGAACTCAAAAAGCTCACAGCAAGAGCCAGCACTGAGGTTCTGGCCAAGTTCTTTCCACTTTCTTTCATTTGGGTATATGGATGAGTATAAATGGATTCTGATTTGATGCTTCTCATTAGAGATTCATAAAGTTAATCCAGATTGCCTTCAACTATGGCTTGCAATCAGCTCCAGGAGATGTAAAATTTGTAATAAGTGCTCTCTCTAGTAACACACCATACATTCTCTAACAGAAATCAAGCTTTATCGTAGGCTTTTCCCATTTCCTAAAATTTCATTTTAACTACACTCTCTATTACCTACTACAGTATTTTGCAAAATCCCTGGATTAAAGATTACCATGATCAGATCTGCAGTCTTGTCATGTGTCCATCTCATCTGAACCAGAAATGCTCTCTCACCTTACAAAACTTTATTTCCCTTACTGTATTGTATGCAGAGACAGGCTGTAGAAGCATAACTGGAATGAACAAGCCCAAAGCGTTTATAAACAAGTAATTCTGATACACTGAAGAGAATAAAAGTGCTCTGCAAGGATTAAGTTGGTTTCCAGTATAGTCCGTGGTCTAATAATTGACAGAACAAATAAATAAAAGGGAGAAATATGTTCAGATTTATTTTTATGGCAACTTCCCCTCTGTTAAAAAAAATAAGGGAGAAAATGTATAAAGTATGGCCCTAGATATCATGACATTTAATTCTTTACAGAAAATCAAAACCAGTATCAGAAAAAGAATTAATCTTCTTACAATGAATATTTTGGATTTCTTTTCTCTCTTATATCTGAATCTTGCTGAGAATTAAAATCTGCACCAATCCTAATTAGTATGCAAATAAACTCTCCCTGCTGACGCTACAGGGTAAAGTTCAAAGGAATTTACAAAGGATGACTGTGTTTTGAAATTTTCTCCCTGGAAAGATACCAATCATAAACATGGGTGATCTATATTTCAGGCAAAATACTCTGTATTGTACTTTTGAAATAACTCATTTAAAAATATTAATTAAAAGAAAACAACATTCTCTTTTGTTTATATCTTATACAGATGTACTTTCCCCCCATACTTAATATTCACAATAAAATACTTGAGAGCAATTAAGTCAGAAAGGATTCTTAGCGTTAATGTTACAAACATCAAAAATTGAACATTCTGTTGATTGTTTTATTTCATAAAACTTTCCCATCCTTAGACTTCTTTTGCCTTTTTGGTTCCAATGCAAAAATAAATTTAGTGGTTTTCTCAGTAGTCAATCTGCATCTTTGTTTCCATGTTAACTCAAAATGAGTCAAAGTAATCATCTCTCTAATTCTCTGCTCTTCACAGTTTACTTATTGCAGAAGATCTAACACTGTTCCCCCACTGAAACACATCCCTTAATAAAACATCTAAGCCTTCCTTGAACACTTCTGCTCAACCACCTCCCTGGGAAGGCAATTCCAGTGCTTGATAGTTGCATCTTTTTGAAAGAGGACAACACGCACATCACCCTTAAGTGGTGCAAAGTAAGTCATCAAGGTGACATCATATCTTGTGTTTAGTTAACCAAGGTCTGCCACAGCAGTAGGCCAGAAAAATGAAGGCAAAGAAGCAGCAGAAGGGAAGAAGTCTCTTGAATTGGCATGAAACTAGTGAAAGCCAGCTGTAGTCCTTTCACTTCACTTTCACATCCGAAGTTCTCTGCATCAGATCCTAAATACAAGAAGTCCAATGTGGAATCCAGCTGGCAAGAAACAGCAGTTTAATGCATACTGTTTGTGCAAGTGCCTACTTACAAACATGGTTGATAATACTTAACTGTTTAATGAATCCTCTTCAAAACAGTCTGGTCTGTTAAGGAGCCAAGAGACTGTGATTCTATTTTCAGCTTTACTGAATATCTGTTAGGCAGCCACACACAACTCATTTTAATTCTTTAACTCTTGCTTGCTTTCCAAAATAAATAATTTTTAATTTATTTTTGTTTATTTTACATTGTGGCCTCTTGCAGCCAGGAAATACCTCTAAGTGTCACAATCCCATATCTTAAGATACTCAAAAAACCTGGGCTTAAATGTATTAAAATCCAATTGGAGCTCTGATTTGAGGGCATTTAGGTGCCATGGTAAAATCACGTGTAAGTGATAAACACTGGACAGTTCTGCAGTCGTATTGTAGCCTTGTTTTCTCCATAGTAGACATTCCCTTTGTCAGTGTGAGTGTGAAAGAAAAGTTGACCAGTACAAATCAAACTCAAAAACGTTCTTTCAAACAAGTCAACTTGTTCTGAGAGGAGTTTACTGCATCCTGACCATGCCTTGAATGATATCATATGCAAACACCAGATTCTTTCTTTTAAACCCCTATGCTATTCCAGACTGTGCTTTCAAAAGGAAAAAAAAAAAAAAACAAAAAAAAAAAAAACCACCCCAAATCTTTTAAGATTCAAGAGCAATTATTTTAAAAGCATTTATGCTAAAGAAAGTACTATTGATCATTGCTTATCAGCTTTCAGCACACGTACAGCACAACAAAAGGAGAACTAAATTGAGCTGTCTAATTGCAAGGGATGCTTTGAATTACCAGAAAACAGTTCAGTAGCTCACCCTGAGAGCAAATACTGTAGATGCATGGCGTTCGACATCAGAATTTCAGACTGGATTCCTATCATTAAGGATCTGTATGTATTCCAAATGTTTCACAAGATGCTTTTCACAGGACATACATAGTATTTCACCGCTAAAAGCTAATAATTAGAACTTCAGAATGTATCTATCTAATAGAAGCATAAACAAATACACTACATAATTTGCAGATGACTTGTATTTAAAATTTGGAATTCTAAGCTTAAAAACTTATTAGAATGCAAATTATTTCTGGAATATAAAAATCCTACCTGAACTGAAAAGTGAACAGCATAAAAATTTAACCAATCACCTCACTGTACACTTACTGATATTTGGAAGGAGATTAAAGATGTATATATTTATGTTTCAAGTGTGATACATTTGAAGCCATGCTCAAGTCTCTTAGTTCAGTTGCATTAAAACTTTCTACATTTATTAAGTTAATTGACAGATTTCAAAAGCTAAACAAAACAAGGCCACTAAAATTATTATATATAATTTAACAACAACTAAAAAAACCACTATCAAATGCCAAGATTAATTACAGAAGTGGACACTAAACAGAAAGATTTGCAACGCATTGAAAACGAAGTCAAAGCATCTGTCATCGAGTCAAGGTTGTCATTGGATAGGCAGTGCAGAATGCATGTGGATGTGATTAAAATAATCCCTCCAGTAAACATATGTAGACATAAAATTTATCGAACTTAAGTACAGAGAGGATTGAAGGAGTAGCCAGCAGCAGATTGACACATTACCTTTCATTTATGCCATAATCAGCATATCTCGTGGCCTAGAAACGCTGTATTTTAGTAGCTTTTATGTATGTTTAATTTTCACACCTCTATTGCCAAGATAACTGTAAAGCACTTGCAGATGCACAATAAAACTGAAGCAAGCAAGCACTGACATAGATATAGCCTGGGGATATAAAAATGTTGAGATTAAAAGAGCCATATTGAAAAAACTCTTCCTCAGGATGTTTATTTGCTTAGTTTTGAAATGCAAAAGTTCACAAATTTGAGCATTTGTTGTGAATCAGTTGGCACAAAATTAGATTATTTACTTTACATCTTTCCATACAAGTCTGGGATAAAAACACAGACATCAATATGTTTTCTACTTGAAATGTTAATGAATTTGGCCTCCATTTCTTCTGGATGGCCAAGTATTTGGCAGAAATTTAAGGACAACCACCAAAAACATTCAAGTATTATTAAGAGAGTCTCATCCCATTCATTCTGGTTTGACATTGGACTACAACTACTGACTTCACTAGAGTGTAAATAAGAGGTAACTCAGGCTCATACCTTATCAGCTGTCAGTTTTTACATGATCTTTCATGTTTGATGAACATACAAAAGATCTTTTGCAGAAGTTGTTCATTTTGTTCCATGGCATTTTAGTAGTGGACTAGTTAGATATTTGCTAATGACAACTTTGATAATGATCAATAAAGGCAGCAGGTGGGCAGTCAGCAGGTTTATGCTCACTGCTGCAAGCAGCAGCTAGAAGCAACATCAAAGAAAGGAACTATTAACAGAGTTATCAGACCTGTAAAAATGTGTTTAAGTAGTTTCACAGAAACTGTTTTCAAAAAATTTCTATTAGCAATATTGATCACACAAAACCTGAGTTCAGCTATTACATTACACAAATCACTTAGTTATTACAACATGGAGACATCAGATTCGAGGTTCCACATCAGTTGGTTGCCATAAATATTATGGTGCAATAATGACGTTGTGCACCACTATCTAGGACTGTAAATATAAGAATGGGAATTTAAGCAACAGAGTTAAGTCCAAATTATTTGGTACAACGAGAGGGAATGGCTTCAAGTTGCACTAAAGGAGGTTCAGGTTGGATATTAGGAACAATTTACTTACAGAAAAAGTACAGGAACAGGCTGCTTAGGGAGATGGTGGAGTCGCTGTCCCTGGAGCCATTCAATAAACAAGTAGACATGGCAAGTAGGGACATGGCTTAGTGGGCAAAACTGGTGGTAGGTGGATGGTTAGACTAGATGACCTTAGAGGTCTTTTCCCTTCCTAATGATTTAACAATTCTATGTATTCCTCTAGAAAAGAGACATGTTAGACCATCTAATCATCTCCTAAAGCATGCTGTGCTTCAGGTTGCACTCTGAGCACACACATTTGGATTATCTTTCTGTCAATAATGTGTAGCAACATTGTTTAGTAGTTTAAAAGCACTGCTTATATTGAAATTTACAAACCTCTTGTAGACATTCCAGCAGTAAATTGCATCTTGCTGTCACGCTGGCCAAGCTCCTCCCCCTTTGTCAGGATATCCTGGGTGACGTTTTAGTGCTTCCATGCAGAACTTTCCGTGCCAGTAAACAAGCTTTACTGCATTGATGCAATAAAGGGCTGATAAAGAGATAACAAAAAAGATCAAAAGATTACCAAAAAATAATCACATTCTTGATTCATTTCTCCTACTGCCTTCTGTGTATGAAAACACTTTTTTTTTTTGCATATTCAATAAACAATGGCCCAAGTATTAAAAGCAAAAACAATCACATCTGTTAGAAAATTAATTACCTGTTTCATATATGCAGTAATACCAACCAAAAAAGATAAGACTGCTCCGAAGCAGCAGTAAATAACATTTACCAGAATCTTGGGAATATTTCCTAAGCAGAGGTGCTACAGATTTCCTTGACTTTTTGTTTCCTCTTATTATTACATTTAAATATATCAGAAAAATCAGCATTTCTCACTCCTTTCATGTTAAAACATACGTGACTTACAATTTTTCTTAACATCACCCAACAAAAAAAAAAGAAAAAAAGGAAAAAAAGCAGGAAGTAATGATTGTGAGATAGTGAAGCTGTGAAAGTTTTCACTAAGAAGAATTTGTCCCATCTTGCAGTCACTTAATACCAAAGTTTGGTCTTTATTATTGCTTTTTAAGTAGACTCATCTGCGATAAAACAGAATACGTCAAGAAACATGGACATATACAGATCACATTCTATGGGGAAAAAAAAAACCAAAGCACCAGCATTATTTTGTCTACAGAGAACAGATTTAGAGAATATCTTCAAAAAATATATAAAAAAAAAAAATTGCCAAAAGAAACTGTTTTCCAACTATGTCATACACATGAGACAAAGCAAAAGTACAAGATTTCTACTTGGTTTTGGACTCGGCAAAGATTTTCTAATGTAAGGGTAAAAATGCTAAAGGTATACTGTTCTATTTTCCACAGAACCTCTGGGATGCCTAGTCTAGGTCATCTCAGACAAGATGATGGACCCCTGGAGGAAATGACACTAACGCAGCTCTATTAAGTAATTGGTTTTGAGTTTTTCTGTATCAGAAAATTTGTAAGGTAAATAGCAAATCTCTTTTGACAAAATGGACGTTCCTATCATCAAAACTAAAGTCCCTTCTCCAGATGTATTTTACACATTTATTATTCGACCTTGCTTCCTTGTTCATTTAATCTCATGCGTAGAAATTAGCATGTAACATTTAAAAAAAAAACAAAAAACACAACAAACCAAGCAAATTACACAATAGTTATTCTGAAATCTGTGACACTGAACAATCTGTGCTAGGGAACAGGTTAAAAAAACCCTTTGACTTCATCGATTTTTTTTGTCAGCTGTACTAATTACAACCCGCTTACAGATTGAGAAGCAAGGAAATATGCTAAATTCATTCACTGAGTTTCTCCCTCTGAGTATTCAACTTCGCATAAGCCAGAAACCACGCTTCTTGAATTGAAAGAATACAGAAGATTTAGAATCTGTAGGGGATGAAAAGTTTTCAAGTACATTTCTTGAAAAGCTTAAACTAGAACACTTGGATTTATTAAACTTTCTACTGGGTCTTTGCACGTAACAGCATCATTTATAGGTAAAGAATTAATCTCATCTATTTAAAAACAAGGATAAAAGAAGAAAACAAAACTAGTTAACAGCTTTTGCCCCTGTTTTGCTTACAAAGAAACAAAAGTGCTTCTGACAGGTTCTCAGCATCCAGGAAAGTATTCACAAGTAGACCACTAGTCATATGCAGAAAGAAGAGTCACCCAAGAGTTACTAGCACTCACCCAAAAGGTGAAGGGGCTCTCTGACTATGCAGCACTCCCCAGGAAGTAGCCTAGGTCCAAAAGAAGAGCTCCCAGCAGTGGTTGGCCATTATATGAGCCCAGGTGGGCTCCACTCTGGGTCTGCTCCTTCTGGTCACATGAGGAGCACAGGTGCACACAATGTGACTGTGCTCCCTAAGCCAGCTGCACCCCTACACCAGGTGCTCAATCACCAGCTCAAGCTGTGACCTAAGGTTTTCCCTACAGTTCCCATTACCATCACTTTTAATTAACCCATGAGACATCCAAATTAAATTAGAGAAAATATTGTATCAACAGGCAGCACGTGCCAACGCTTGGTCTATTTGATAATAACTTGATAATAAGCATTTACATACACTCTTGATCTCAGCATGGAAAGCAAAAACATTACACTAGTAGCAGATAAGTTTAATGGTGCAATTCAGTTTTATACATCAATCATACATCTTATTTTAATGTGGTTTCTCTAACCACACTTATAGGAATATGGAAGCACCAGCAATACGAAAAATTTCTGAAGTGTATAACCTTTCTGAACAGTAAAAACTTTGGCATATGGTATCTCTGCTGCCCTTCTTTCAGCTTAGAAAAAAGTCACCTTTCAGTCATCATAGGTGTAAATGAATACAACAAAAGGACTTTAGTGTAAAACTAACCAACATGCGAGATCTTGTGGGATTTTTTTATCTTTATTTTTTAATTCTACAATAATAACTAAAGTATTCTGATGGCTATACTTCAATACTAATTTATAATTAACTTCAGGTGCTTCTTTGATCTTACTGATATATTTTTTCCCATTTTCTTATCAAGAGTCTCCATGCAGTCTGTAATTATGCTTCTTAGTGTGACAGTGAGTTTGACTAAGTAGATGCATTAATACACGCTTTGGGAAAATATTGTTTAAGCCAAAGCAAGCTCTTACCACTGAACTGGAGTATCATCTGAAGCACTGTTGATTAGAAACATATTATATGAGCTCATAAAAGGTTTGCCATAAAAAGTAAAATGTGATTCTCAATTTAAGGTAATGGATGACATGAATAATAAAACTAGTACCTGCCCAACAATATGCACATTAAGGCATTTAGAGCATTAATATCACAACTCTACAAAAGGCATGTGTCATGTTTTACACATGTGTAGGCTCCTTTTGCTAAAGAGGAAGACATTTCAATTTTTTTCTGAATAATGAACCAAAAGATTTTTTTGAAGTGTTAAAAGCTGTTGTAGTAAGGCAGCGATACAGCATAATGTACCTGAGGCAGTCAATAAGTAACACAGGGGTGCAGGGCAGTGCAACTCTTTCCCCCAGCTGAAGGAGTAAGCTGTAATTCTCAGAAGACAAACTTCATATTTTTGACACATAAATAAGATGTGCATCTGCAGCAAGGTAACTGAGATTCTCACTTTAAGCATTTATCTGAGAAATACTAAACAAAATCTGCCATGGAAGTGCTAGGGGCAGCTCATCTGTGAAGACATTAGTCTACAGCTACAAATTGGGACTGATGTAACTTCTCCAGTCAGGAAATGAGTGTTTCACCATCAGGCTGCTCCTAAGTTCAACAGAGACCACAATTCTAATTACTCATAGAAAATGTGCTTTTCACAATACAGCACTTCTTTCTACAAGCAGAATAAGTGCACTGCGGGCTCTGATAACATCAAGATGCATGAGGAGTTTGTACTGAATAACATCAGTACCAATTCTTCCCTACCTCTCCTACGGGGTTCTGTGACACACTGCAGAGACAAGACTGCACAGCATCACCTGTCAAGTTCCTTTCTGAAAGGAAGAATCACATCTGATGCACTTGCACAAGCTCCCTTCAGCTTCTGCCTCCATAAGAGTAAAAATAGAAGTAAATTAACAAACAAGAGTCAGAACAAGTAGTTCAGTTTTGACTGCTTCATTATCACCTAGACTGTCCCCATTTATCTTGCCTCCCCAAAATGCCTGACAATAAAGAAAAAAAAAAACAACAACACAGTGCTAAAGAGATTACCCAAAACTAAAATGGCTTGTTGCCTCCGGGAATCATGAAAAAGTCTTTTAAGACAGAAAATTACAGTTCCCAGTCAGATAACACAATAGATGTTCATTTTCTTCAAAATGTTCAGTACTATAAGGCGTAAACCAAGAAGAACCAGAATGAAAATGAAATAAGAGTTAACTGCATGATTTACTGCAAGGCTCTGGAGCCTTCTCTTGTCCAAGCTAAACAAGCCCAGTTCCTTCAACCTTTCTGCTTAGGAGAGGTGCTCCAGCCCTCTGATCATCTTATTGGCCCTCATCTGCACCCACTCCAAGAAGTTGACTTATTATTAGACAAGACCAATTCATTATTTATTTATTTATTTTATTATTTTCCATCCTGGCTGGCGTCACAGCCCCTTCCTGACCCCTGCCTGCCTGCCTTGGCTGGCTGGCTGGAGTCAGGACCCCTGCTTGCCTGCCTTGGCTGGCTGGCTGGAGTCATGGCCCCTGCCTGCCTGCCTTGGCTGGCTGGCTGGACTCGTGGCCCCTGCTTGCCTGCCTTGGCTGGCTGGCTGGAGTCAGGACCCCTGCCTGCCTGCCTTGGCTGGCTGGCTGGAGTCGTGGCCCCTGCCTGCCTGCCTTGGCTGGCTGGACTCGTGGCCCCTGCCTGCCTGCCTTGACTGGCTGGCTGGAGTCGTGGCCCCTGCTTGCCTGCCTTGGCTGGCTGGCTGGAGTCCTGACCCCTGCCTGCCTGCCTTGGCTGGCTGGCTGGAGTCGCGGCCCCTGCTTGCGTCGGCTGGAATCGTGGCCCCTGCCTGCCTTTATTTGCTGGCTGCCTTGCATCACAGCTGGTGTTCTGTTGCCAGGTTTCCCATATTTAGAGCTTTTGTCAGGGAGGTGGCTCATGGCATCATAAAGCCTTGGCTATGCATGCCTTAGAATGTCCCTTGACATCTAAAACATGGCTGCCCTGGAGGACTGAGTGACTTTGTCCTGACAGTTGCCCTATGTGTCACCACTGGGATTCTGCAGTGCTCCATTTTAAGGCCATTTCTCTATCTTGTTTTTACTGTTGATTCCAATAAAGATCTGTTAGTTGTATCAATCAATTTGTGGATGATGCTAAGCTGGGAGGAGTTTAGACCTCCTTGAGGATAAAGAGGCCTTGCCTTGAGATCTGGACAAAATGAGGGTGTTCCCATCTGCACAAAGAAGGGCGAGCGCTGGGTTCTGCACCTGGGATGGGGTGCCCTGGCTCTGTGTGCAGACATCAGGGGGAAAGTTCTGGAGCGCAGCCTGGCAAAAAGGGATCTGGTTTGACGGCCAATGGAATCTGAGCCGGCAGTGCGCCTGGCAGTCAGAAGGCTCAACCGTACCCTGGGCTGCGTCAGGCCCAGCACTGCCAGGCCAGGGAAGCGGCTGTCCCGCTCTACTCTGCGCTGTGCGGCCTCGCCTCCAGCGCTGGGTGTAGCTTGGGCTGCCACTCCATGAGATGCTAGGAGAGAGTGTCCAAAGGAGGGCTCCAGAGCTGGAGAAGTTTACATCACTGATCCTCCAGACGAACCTTCCCAGGAACGCACACTGTAGATAGGTGTACAGAGGATACACCTACAGTAGTGTATATATATATATGCCCGCCTATATATATATCCCCACCTACCTACCTATCACTGCCAGGTATCAGTGATGTGATTCAGTAAGGCTATGGTCACCTGTAAGATTTGTCACAAGCAAAAGGGTGAACATACAGCTCATCAGCTAGTTATTCATAGACATGCTGCTGTCCTGTCACACAAAGTTTGTGTTGTGGTAGAAAGCCTCATATTAATCAAGAAGTGAAGTCAAACATATCAGTAGCTACCAGAGAATACTAGCACGCTAAAAATTCTTATTCTACTCGTGACACCTGGCTCCTGTCCTAATAGCTTGCTATGTATCTCGGGTGCCAGAGCTCCTAATTAAAACAACTTTCCTCTCAAAAGTATCTGTAACTCTGTATACATGAACATATTGTCATAATGAACCTCTGCCTCCTCTAAGGAAAGAGCCATACAAACAACCAATTAGTGATAAAAAACAATGCATGTTTTTTGCATGCACTGTACTAGCCAAATGTGTAAACCTGCATGTATCCCTTCACGTATTTCTGCAGCTAAATTCTTCTTAAGGAAAGAGACCAAACATTTTGGAACAAATCTTGTAGCGTCATAAAAGTTTGGAATGATCCTTTGTGGCTAACTGCTTCAATATATACAAATTCTGGTTTGTGTGGAGACACATACTGATCTGCACACATAGATTGACATTGACTTTAGAGGCAAAGTGCGAACACATCCAAATCAAGCTTTCCATTCAGTAGTAAGAAGTCATTTGTCAGGAATAAGCCTTAAGAATTACAAATTATAGTCACTTTATGCAGGAATTGCTGCATGATGACTGCATCGAAATGTTGTATTTGATGCCCACTGAAGAAAAGCCAACACAAAGGCTGCAAAACTAGCCTGCATAAAGTATCTGTTGTTTTTATTAAAAGTCCCCATAATTTGTTATTTATCTTCCTTCAAAATGAGTGTTGTCACTGAGTAACTAATCCTGAGAAAACAAAGCAAGGCTTATGCTAGCACTGAGGTCCTTCCTTTCCATGTGAAAAATCCTGCTGAGATTGAGGGGAAGCCGCAACCTGTGTCTGCCCCAAATCCACAGCACTGTGCAGCACTTTAGGGTTGAAGGCTAAAACCAGTGCAAAGCCAGCGGTTCATTGTTCAATCAGGATGCCTCACTGCAATGTCCTTCTGCCTTGTTCCCAAAGCCATGCTGCCTATCTGGCTGGAGACAAGGTGCTCACCTCTTTGCAAGAGATCACTTCTCCTGCTCTGATGTTCTGACAAAATAGGCCAGAACTAACACACTCTCCTTTCAAAAGCTAGTGAAAATAAAGTAATAGACAAATACTGGCTTGTTCACATTACAGTAAGCAGTGAATTGAAATGGCTCCATCTATGAATATTCCTTTATTCGGCAGAACCATGGAAATAATTTATTAACCAGT